AACTCGAATCAGGCATTCTGTAAGAATTCCTTGGAAAACAAAGAGTCAAATCGTGCTTGCTTGTGATTTGCAAATTTACATAACGGATTTGGTGGAATATTAACGTAATTCATGGAGAGATAGTTGAGGAATGAAGTAGAACACACTTCACAATGAGATAAGTGAATGATAAATGTGAGAAACATTTTGCAATGAAATAAAAATACAACATTCAGGATCGAGGTCGGTATTCCGACCATGCTGAACAAGGGCCAGCATCCCGCTCCCGCGCAGGCCGCAGCATTTCCCCAGGGAGACCCAGTGTGTGGGGTTTGGGGTGCAGGAGGCGCTGGGTCACGCATGGCCCCATCTTATCCCGCGTCGGGTACCTCCTCCACTCGCTGGACCGCCGCCGCAGCACCGGCCCCGAGCTGCGGCAGCGTGCCCGCATCTTGAGCATGACGGTGTTGCGAACTTCTCGCCTTGTGCAGTTTTTTTGGTTCACTTTGTACAGTTTGGCTCAAACATTCACTGCTCCGAGGCGAGCAGGCCTAAGTCACAGCTCTGGAGCGAGAAGGCCTGCAGCCTACAAGTCCTGTTGGATCATGTCTGCGTAGCGGCGTAGCGGAGCTCAAGAACCCTAAACTCCTATCGAAGACCCTATATTAGCCCTATATAACACAAAAAATAAAGCATCATTTTACGACCTTTCGACCTTGTGAAATGCGGGGTTAAAAAACCAGGGCTGGCGCGCGTTTTGCATGGACATGCTTGTTTTACGCTCGATTTTTGTTTGATTTTGATGGGTGGTCACTTTTTGCGGTCCACGCCTTTCAAGACTGAAAAGGCATAGCAAGGCAGGCGTCGCTTGTAAGGTCTTGCGAATGCTGGAAACATCATGCCTCAGTTGTTCTGCGCTGCAATGGCTCAAGTCCTGCAAACATTTGGAGCTGCATTGCGGGGTGATGGCGGTTTTTGGGCTTGCAGACGCAGATGGAAGATGGTCGGAGGCTTCCTCCCTTGATGGAAGGGCGGCAGGAACACATTACGAGGTCAGTGTTCGACAACAGCTGTGGAACTTCGCAGGTGCGACGGCCAAAGCCCAACTTGACGAAATTCGACAACAAGAGCTGCAACACGCGTATCGAGAAGCCCACACCCAGTCGCAACAATTGGTGGGCATGAAGTTATGGGAGAGGATCTGCGGAAGATTCGGAAGCAACAAAACACAGATGATGGAAGCCACAGTGGACCTTTGTGGTGAGCTGCAGGGAACTCACACAGTCACAACACTGCTTGGTCCAGCAGCGTACCTTCTCGGTGGACCGACTCTCAGTATTTTGTGATCAATGCTTCTGATGCGCCGCTCATGTCATCATACCTTTGGGCTTCGACTCAGGAAGTGACTCTGTGACTGGTAAGGTAGTCGCTGAGATTACAGTGCGGTGCTCAGCCAACGTCGTTTCTGTTAGTTTTGAAGCAGGGTTCGGTCTCCAACGTGAGGTCATGTCGGCGCTGCTCCTGATGAAGAGCGTGCAGCTCGAGGTCTTCTTGGCACTGACGCAGCAGCAAGGTCAGCAAATGCCTGATCACTGCATCCTCATCCTGAACAGGAAAAATCTCATCATAGGTGCCGCTTTCAACGCATTTTTGCAGAAGCACTTGCCGATCTTGCACTCGTTTCACAAAGAAAACAAACTGACAATCATATGGTGGCCTCACTCGGTTCCTGTGCAGAAGCACCAGGAGGCGGTGCAGGAGGCGGTGCAGAAGCACCAGGAGGTGGTGCAGAAGCACCAGGAGGTGGTGCAGAAGCACCGGTTTGTCTTTGGCATTTTGGTGTCTGTGATTTGTTTGCTGTTGCTGCGGCTGTGGGAACTTCTGAACCGCACTAGCCAACCTTCGGAGCTGTAAATGCTGCGATTACAGACTCTTGGTCGCCATGACACAGTTGCCTCGCGAGAAAAATGTTGGGTCGGTCATGTGCAGGCCACTTTCGGCTGGGTTGAGATCTGGGCGAAAAATCCATGAAGGTGGAGTTTCCGCTGAGCCTGTGCCAGGTCATCATTCCTTTGCAGGATGCTGAGAGTTGTCAAGCTTCCAACACAAACAACGCACAAGGGCAGACAGTCACGTGCAAACACAGCGTAGGAAGGGAAACCGCTGGATCCCAGTCAGTCTCCACTCCGCCGGGCCCTTGGAACGCTGCTCCAAACCCCTCGGCAACCCAGCATTCCTGCAAGGGTTATGTGGTCCACATCTTCAGAGAGTGCATCGATTTTTACGCGTGTTGCATTTGTGCGGATCCCAAAACTTAGACCCATGGGCCCATAAAGTAAAGGCGAGAGTGCTTTGTGATGCTTTGTGTGGTCTCTGCGCCCCTGAGGATTTGGGGGTTGAAAGATAAGAAGTAGGGTGCTGTGTGATTGTGTGACTGCGAGTGCAAGTGACTAAGTGGAGTGCAGGACCGTGACCTGTAAACTTCTAGAGTGCCGATGCTTTCCCCTTCCCTTCCAGGGACCGGCCCCCGCCCTGCGGCCCAGGTCTTCTTCTCTGCGGCTCGACGCGTCGGGCGCCGACCTTGCTGCTGAGAGGGTTTTTAAGGGTTTGTTCGGGTTTGGGCTCCAGGTTGCAAAGTCTAGAGTGTGTGCGCCAGGGTTTTTTTTCCAGGGTCTGTTCGGGTTTGAGGCCTAGGGTTCCGAAGCAGCAATGTCTAGAACACGTTCTCAGGGTCTTTTCTGAGGCCTGTTCGGCTTTGAGGTGGCGGCTCCGAGGCAGTGACCCCCCCCCGACCTTTCCGGGGAACAACCCTTGTGTGCAGGTTTTTCGCGCCATCTTCGTTGACGTGCCGGGCCCTGGGCTTAGCGTGTACAAAAGTAGCAGGAACGATTGCAGGGGTGGTAGGCAGGTTGAACCTTTTAGGGCTGCTCCCGAGCTCTGCGAGTACTGTCACGAGATTCCGTCCTTTGCATAGAGCGGCTCTCTCACGATTTCACCCAAGCTGGCAATGCAACCATCAGCAGCCTAGTTCGACACCATATTCTGATTCTCAACCCTTGGATTGTGTGCACTCAAGGAGTCAAAGATCCGCGACTGTACGTTCCTGAGTTTGCACCAAGTTGCGTAAAGGCCATGCAGGTGAGGACATTTCGCTCGGTAGCCGAGCAGTCTGAAGACATCATATATCTGGGCCAGCTAAAGCTTGGCCAAGCTTGAAGTCCAGATTTGACGCCTGCAGCTGGCTGCCACCCTGGAGCCCATTTTACTTTGAACAGTTGAGCCTTTGCTGAAAAGCGCTTAATTCACTTATCTCATTGTGAAATGTGTTCTACTTCATTCCTTAACTATCTCTCCATGGATTACGTTAATATTCCACCAAATCCGTTATGTAAATTTGCAAATCACAAGCAAGCACGATTTGTTATCTTCTCTTGTCACAAAGGGATTGCGCGTTCGTGCAGCCTTGAGGGTATTCGCCATGCTTCCAAACCCGGACCGAGGATCCGTGTAGACCTCTTCGACAGCTCTGCGAGCCTGAGCCTCGAATCGCTGCGTCATCCATGCTTGTTTTGATTAACCACTCCATTCCTAGCCATGGTCTGTCTAAAAGTTTCCAAAACCGGTCCAAGGATCTTCGTAGACTTCTTCGATAATTTTTCGTTTAGCTTCAGTATCCATAGCGTTTTTGCCCACAACCACCCAGTCGTGTGTACTTCGAAGACATCAAGCGACTGCATTCGTGAGGTCATGGAAGAGTCGCTGGCATGCGTCGTCAAAATCTTGAGCGAGCTGGATGATCTGGATGTGAATATAGCCAGCGCTATGCTTTCGGAGCTGTGTAACCGGCAACTTCGTGCGTCCACAAGAGATACCATGTCTGAAGCTGGTCGCAAATTTCATGAAAAGCACGTGGGACAATGGCTTCGGAAGTGAAGTGAAGATCTGGCCTGGACAGAAATAGAAGAACTCCGGCTTTAGTGTTGGAAAGCCCGACGCAAGAGTTTCTTACAGAATGCCTGATTCGAGTT